TTAAGTGAAGCATTTAATCCAAATTAACTGCAAGTTAAAAGAAAATTAAGAGGAAAATAGTCACGTCTTGTCTTTACAGATCATTTTTTTCTAGTCATCCCATCTATAAACACATAGTGATTTTTAAGAAAATATACAACCTAACAATGACATCACTTTTAAGTATCAAATATAATACCTGAAAACTCACAAAATTAAATCATGATTCCTCACACTTCACTTTAAATACATATAAAACCATTTGGGATGCCTTTATTTAATCACCTGTGAAGCTGTACTTCCCAATCATATGCCTGCCTCACAAAATGAAAACAAGCAGATTGAAATCCAAGACAACAAAGACTATAAACCATGACATTCTAACACACCTGCATCAACCAGATAACAAGTGGACAGGCTATGAGGACATCCATCTGTTCTCAAATAAAGCATGCGGCCTAATAACAAAGTTAATATTCAAACAAGTAGCATTTCCTTTTGAATCATTTCACTTTCTCTCAGGATTTCTGAATCTCAGCACTTTTAACATTTTGGACAACAAAGAATTTTGTCATGGTTGTCCTGTGCATTGTGGAATGGTTAGCAGCAGCCCTAGCCTCTACCCAGCAGATGCCAGTAGAATCCCCAGCCCCAGTTGTGACAAACAAAAAGTGACTCTATTACCGTATGTTCCCTAGGGACAAAATCACCCCTGGTTGAGAATCACTGCTCTACACTGAAGAAAACCTAAGAGTTAACATGGATAAAACCCAAAAATGTGATTTTATTTTAAGTGATTTTATAAAGAGACATTAAAACACATGAGTTCTTGTACTAACCAAGTCAGACCTCATAAATGGAGTCAATACTAATAGGAAGATGTGTCCATCCATTCTGAAGGAAGAAAAGATTGAAGGGATACTTTTAGCAACAGAAATGCTACAGGCACATGACACACCATTGTCTTCAATCAGAAAAGTTTGCAAGCCCATAAAAAATAAACAGGCCCCTTAAAACTCTCACCTAGGTGTCAGGAAAGGGTCAGCGACTGCTGGTAGTATATTTCCTAAAAGTTATTTAATTTCTATCCTTGTGTTGAAGATCAGATAAATTTAAAATGAAAACAACAAATCTGTGTAGGAAGTAACTAGAAAAATAAAATAAAATTTAAGGCAGACATCTAAAATTTTGTGCAGGGACAACGCATTAACAGACCTTAGTTTCTTTCTCATTACTTTCTCTTCACCTAAGGAAAGCTGTCCCTTCCTTGAGAATTTTCAGAGAAGTTTTACATACCCATAGAATCACTCACTTCTTGGCCTTTCAGATGAGATCAAGTATGCAAGCCCACGGAGTATTTTTTTAATATAAAAAAATGAATACTGCGTATTTAAAGGTTTGCATTAATCTTAAACATAAGACAATTCTATTTCAAAGATTTGATGTTCTCTCTATAATTGTATGTACCAAAAACAGACGTGAAGTTTTGAAGAATACCACGTCCACCTATATAGTACAACATTTAACTCAGCAGCAAGGAAACTATAGCTTTTAAGGATACCTGGTACTCTGAAAATGCAATATCCAAAGTTATGTCTTTCAAAAATTAAATTTGTAATTTTTCCAAAGAAATATCTTATTTGAAAGTTTATAAATGTCTTTTCTTTACACATGGAAAATAATGTTTAAGTTCATAAGGCATAAACAGTGACAAAAGTGATACTTGTAACATTTTATAGCCACATACAAAAATTTCAAGGATTATTCATAATGTGTTTGAATTTCTAAAATCTGAATGAGATCAGTCTGTTCTTTCTCAGTTCTTAAATTTTTGCTTTTGAGCAGACATGGGGAAGAAGTAGTGGAAATCAGAACAGCAGATATTCAATTTCTGATGGCAAATATAATCTTGTTTCTTTCTGAATTACTTTTTAAAAAAATTCTTCTTCATCTGGTTTTCTTTAACACAGAATTGAAAACATACTACACAGAATTTGTTTCTTGCTTTTTCCATTTAACATTTTCTCATGTCTTTAAATATTCCCCCAAATGTAATTTTTAATGGCTAGTACAGATGAATTCTATGGTAATATCATTTAACTGTTTTCTACTTTAGAGATTTGAAACTGTTTCCAATCTTTTGCTTTTATGCTGCAATGAACATTCTCATGAGTAATTATGTTTGCATCTCAGGTTATTCAGGATAAATTCCAAAAGTTAATTTACTAGTTTAAATAGTAAGAACATCTGTATAGTTATACATATTAAAAAACTGTTTTCCATAAAGCTTATGAATTTTACACTTCCATTGCCATGTGAGCATGTCAATTCATTGCATATTCAAAAAACAGTGAACATTTTTTAAAAGCTTGTCAATTTTAAATATTAAAATATCTCACTGCTTTAAATCACATTTTTATTAGTGAGACTGATCATTTTTTAATGTTTACTATTTATAATTCTACACCTTTTCAAATTGTTAAAATTTTTATCTATTTACCCATTGCAGTATTCGTCTCTTTCAGATAAAATTACAACTCAATATAAAGGCATATACCCCTTACTTGACATCCAGAAATCTTTAATTTTTATATTGTCTAACCAATCTTTCCCTTTGTGATTTCCCCACTAATTTTCATGCTAAGAAAATTCTTTCCCATTTCAACATTAGTATTGACATATTTTCTTTACCTCTTGTTTCATCTTGACATGTATATTTTTTAAACACCTGGAATATATTTTTGGTGTGGTATGAGAATGATGATTTCATATCTGGTAGCATAAGAGCCCATTAATCATTATTTCTAAAATTTCCCTGCCTATTTTACTAAGTTAACTTTTAAAATTACTTTATCAGGTTCCCCATCAACCCCCCCTAAAACAAAAAATCTCATTTAGATTTTTACTGAAATTGCACTAAACATAAATAAAAATCAGAAAGGATACATAAGTGTTGAATACTGAACCTATCAGGCATGCTTATCTTGGACCTCATTGTCACAGAAATACTTCTAGTATCACATTTGTTTATCGATACATTGGCTTTTGGTTTCAGATCCAAAAATTTTAGTGTATTAAATCAATCACTAAATCTTTAACTGAATATGAATTTTGTATTTTGTCAAATGCCTTACAACATCTTTTCAAGGTTACAAACATGTGCTATTATGCTATGATCCCATAGATCTCATGTATGAAGGGGTGTCTTAATAGTAAGCCATCCCTTAATTACTGTCGTAAGTCCTACTCATCACACTGTACTATCCTGAATATGTCTATTTTGAGTTGCTTGTGCTTTAGTTAACATTTTTACATTTCTAGTCTGGAATCTTTCCGAAGATGATTTTTTGGATAAGTATTAAAATTTCAATGGTTACCATTTCAATCAGATGTTCACCTTATTTCGCTTATATTTTCCCTGAGTATCATTCATCCAGAGATTTCCAAGTTTCAGTTCTAATTTTTAAAATCTCACCTGCATTTAATCTTATATTCCATTTTTTGCTAAACTGACATGTTTAGATTTTCATTTTTCCTTTGGTTAGGTATTTTCTTTTTTTTTTTTTTACTCACTCACCAACCAACCAACTCTCTGGTTAGGTATTTTAAATATTAGTCTTTATACTTGTCTCCCTTGTGTCCATCATAATCAGCTATTTGATTCATCAAATCTCCTTTTTCTTTTAATATGGCCTATTTTCACTTATTTGCACAGTGAGTCTTAAGGTGTTTTGTGTTGTGCTATCAACTCAACTGTACAAAGTGTCTATTTTCATTTATACTGTGAAGCTATTTGGGGGCAAGCTGCTATGAAGTACTACATACCTTGTAATCATTAATTTAATTAATTGGAAAAGTCATTCTAACCTCACCACAATCTAATGGAATCTTCAGATTTTTTTTTTTTTTTTTTCCTTGAGACAGTGTGTCTCACGCTGTCACCAGGGCTACAGTGCAGTGGCATCATCAGGGCTCAAACTACAACCTCAAACTCCTGGGCTCAAGCAATTCTCCTGCCACAATCTCCTAAGTAGCTGGGACTACAGGCGTGCACTCCCACGCCCAGATAATTTTTTTTTTTTTTTTTTTGTAGAAATGGAGTCTCGCTCATTTAAATTTTGTTAATATTTCAGAAAATACTAACTAGATCTGGTCTTAGAAAATTAGAAACTACTTCGATTGTGTTTTTCCACAGGAGACACCACTCCAGTGTTTATAGTATTCATTCTTAGCACTTCATGAGCCATACGCTTCACAATAAAGATGTTAGAGGGAAGAAAGAAACAAAATGGGATGAACAAATTTAATGTTGGAAACTATAATTTTTAATACAATGTAAATATAAACAATTTAACTTTATGGAAATTGGGGGAAAATATATTTCAGAAGCCACATGTTTCTTTTTAGAAATGATAGTCTGTGGCAAAATTCAGTATTTATATACTGCTTTTCATGTGTTCTTGCAATATGCCCAATTTTTTTAGTCCATTAGATTCCCTGATGTATTGTTACCATAATTTGACTTGTATTTTCCTGTGCAATTGGTGTTCATTTTACAGAATTGCTAATTACTTCCATTGTTCCCTATGAAACTTATATGGACATTCCTATAAAAATACTTTCTTTTGACATGTGTTTTCCATATTACACATAACTAGGGAGAATAGGCTTTTCTAAAAATGTTAAAGACCTTTAAATTTTGACTCCTGTGATACCCAAGCCCAACATCCCAATTAATGCAGGATGCCTCCTTAACCTATACTTTTCCCTCAGAAATTTACATTTTCCCTTCCAACAACCAAAAGTTGTATATGATAGACTTCTCCACACTCACTTTTGAGATACTTGGAGAAATGTAAGCCATTTTTCACAATAAAGGCTAACACACACACTCACTTCTCGAGCAGGACTACTAGAATAATTTCTAGCAGACTACTAAATTTCTATCGTTGAATACGTAACCACCACGGTACAAGGAGTTTAAAAGTAAGATGAAGAGCTGAGGGTTAGAAGCATCTTACCTGCTTTCCGTCCAGGGTGCAGAGCCTCTTGACTACTCCTGAGTCTAGTTTAATGGCTTCGGTGATATCTGTTAAGACCTGTTCAAAGGAATGAGCAGTCTTTTTATTCAGAAGGATCCGCACAGCTTTTCTAGGCTTCACTCCACTTCGAATCACAGTCACTAACTTGGGTTTGATGAAATCTTTACTTTCTTTTACTTCACTTTTCACAGAGGAGGCAGCAGCCAGGGCTCGGGTTGTCCCACCCTTGATGTTTACGGACCAGTTCGGATTAACATTTTTGGTGTAATCGACTTTACGATATGGTTCGTTGGATGCACACACGTAACTCTCACCTAGAAAGCAAAAATTAATATTATTAGCATGATTATCCCCACCACAGAAGCATCTTGTCTGAAGAATAGGTGCTGCAGACCCATTCAGTGAACTGACCTTAACAGGTTCACTGAAAGCGGACGTACGTCCTGTTCCTGTGGCATTCTCCCACCTCCCTTTCTCTCAAATAGCATCCAGATTGGTTTTGAAATAACAGATTACAGGGTGAAAAGCACTGGACCGAGATATCAGAGTGAGAGCTGGATTTTATTTTGACCAAATGTGTCACCTTGGATAACTCATTTCTCCACACTTTGGTCCTCGGTATCATTAGCTTTAAAGTGAAGTGGCTGAACCAGCTGAATTCTCAAGTACTTCCTAGTTCCAAAAGCCTATTAACTGACTTAGTACAAAAAATAAAAAGAAAAAAGAAAAATCATCCCATTCTATTAACAGTAGAAATCATTATATCACAAAATATATTCATATAAAGAAATAAAAAATATTTTCTTTCTCCCAATTATAGATTTCAGTCCTAATCAAAGAATAATCTGTGTATCTTTATATAGCTGACTAAACCATACTCAATTATAGGATTATTTAGTCAATTACCGAAGCACCACAAAAGTGAAAGAAGAGTTTTGGCAGCTTGAAACACATTTTTTTCTTAACTTAGGGAAACGCCTTCCTGAGGCATTTTTTTCTTAAAGAATGTAAGCTTAAAATAACCAATAAGTTCCAACAGACAACCTTCTCCATATCTACTTAAATAGTAAAGGATATTAAGTAGTTAAAATGATGTGTTCATTACTCATGAAGCCTTCTGCTTAACTTGTATTAAGTACAACATAAAAGCTATATTATTTGCCAACTGGCTTACTAATTCAATGTTTACTAATTTTAATTTCCCAAATTTTCAAATTTATATGTTGAGATATCATAATTTTTCTTTCAGGAAACTCACAAATCCCCCAGTTCTTTTACTCTTGAGTTTTTGACATACAAGATAAGAGGGTTACACTCAAAAGATTTTTCTCTAAGATATCCTGTAACTCAAAAAGAATCTATTATTTTTTCACATCATTCAGCATAACAAACTCAATATAATAATTATTATATGAATCTTAACTTTTATAAATGCTTAAAATAAAAATGACCAAACGAGTGAAAGGGAATTCCTAAAGAAAACCTATTAATATCAATATTATATTTAGCTATTATCACGATGCTCTTGAAACTATTAATGAAGAACTTTAGAGACTCCCAAAGGCACATGAATAATTTGGTAACAGATCAGGCATACAAGAAGGATTTAAAAGTATAAAGGTATAATCGGGGCACTGCCCAAGATAACTAGAGAACCAGTCAGAGGCTTTAACACTGCCTCTACACCAGTCATCTTTAAAATCTAGCCTAACCACTACCATTTAGTTAGAGATTTTTCATCTCTATAGGCTGACCTAAATCATTTTTCATAGTATGACCATCTGGGAAAATGACACATAATTTCAAAAATAGGTATCAATTTAATAAAATAGAACTATACACATATATATTAATGAACAAAAAATAATTATTGTTTCACTTTAATTTCATAGCGAAAGGAACTCTCACATTGAAAAGCTCCTATTTTCACCTATTACAAAAATTTAATTGTATGTTCTGATCCAAAATATAAGTTGGGCGGGGAGAGAATCTTAGCAAGAGAAAGTGATTTTAAAAAAAGAAGGGGGGAGGCAAGGATGAGTAAGTCAGCTGGGGAAAGCCTCTCCCAATATAAAGAGGAAAAACAATGGCAAAAAGAAAAAAAAACAGGAAATTTTAATATATCAGATTTTCTTGATCAACTGGTCCCTGTACAGTTGACATTATCAACTAGGAGAGCTGCTTTTTAAATTTGTCTGCATTTTGTTTCTTTACATGAGTTCGGAATGTCAGGATGAAAATAGGTAAAGGAAGTTCCTTAATTTGCTTGTGTGTAATTACAGGTGAATTTTAATTCCCTCCTTCTCTCCCTTCTTCCCTTCATAATGTTTCTATTAAAAACGTGTAGACCAGTTCTACAATAAATTTGCAATGTTTTGAGCCAGGCTGGTAAATGCCTACAAGATAGAGCTTCGCCACCTCTACACACATAGCAGAGACAAATAGTTCCACAGCCTCACCCCTTTCCCTGCACCCACGGCCCTTTTGGCCTAGACTCCTCCTCACAATATGCACTGAGTACCTACTATGTGCTAGCTCTCATGCTAAGTGCTGACATGGTATGAAACCCACTTTGGTAACCTTGGCACTCAACGTTTTAGCACACAGGTTCAGGACATGGTTTAGGAGTCAGATAAGTCTGTAAAGTACAGATGTCATACATAGCTTGATGACCACAGCCACCAAGATTTACCCATGCTAGCTTTCCTTGTTATGTCCCCACCCAGATCAAACAATCTTCTGATCGTGATTTTTGTCTCTTATATAGATTTGCCTATAAGGGGACAATGTGCTGACAAAAGAATTTCAGAGGTTGGTTCCCTAGGCAGTTACACCTCTTGATGTTAATCAATCAATAAATTATTCTCTGTTAGATATCAGCCACCTACAAGATTGATTAGAAGCAATCAGCCTCCCCTCACCAGGTTCTTGCTACTGTAGGGGCTCCTGCTTAAGATCTGTTACTCCCCTGCCAACCTGTGCTTCTTCCCTTTCTCCATCACTGCGCCAACTACCAGCTAGAAACCTAGGTGTCGCCCTTCACTCTCTGGCTTCCCTAGCTACTACACTATGGCATCAAGTTCTGTCTATCTTCTAAATAGTTCTAAAAATTCCCCTCCTCTCTGCCTTCACCACCACCCACATCCCACCTGGATCAATGCAAGAATCTTCTGTTTTCTCATTTTCCAGAAATATAACGAGTTTTCCAAATGGCAGTACATTTTATGCTACTGACATGGCTTAAAAAAAAAAAAAAAGCACATCCTGAAGTAATGAGTCTTAATATACTCATAAAATATATCATCATAAAAGACTTTTTTCTAACTCTTGCAAATACATGGTAAAACTGCATTCGCCAAAACAAGAATAAGATCTCAATTAAAAATCAGAGTTAAAAAAAAAAAAAATCAGAGCTAAACTAGAAGTATCATATATGTATTTTTCATATTTAGATATATGAAAAATAGAGCAGTCCCTGAAATCCAGAACTGATATGACTTACACAGCTAGACCTCAACGTTATTACAAGCTGGTCTGGTACTCAGAGTTAGGCCATTTTGTTCTCCTGTTGGACATAATCTCACAGACTATATCCAAAAAAGTCACTCCGAGACTTTGTTATGATAAAGTGGCATAAAAACAAGGTCACTATGCAACCCACGATACCAAATCCCCCTCCTGCACTGAATAAGTGACTGCTATTTCTTTACCAATTACAGCTTTTCCCTCCATCTAGTCTGTCCTTCCTATAAGATTTATAGAGATACCCAATCATAGAACTGCCCTGCATTCTGACAGCACCCAGCACAGAGTGAGTCTCTGCTTCCTTAGATCTTCCTGAAAAATCACCCAACCAAAGCCCAAGGTCCTATGATAGGTTCTAACACCCTCTCACTAAGACACCTCATGGTATCCTATTATGCGTGTTCTTCCTCACTGCAATGAGCAAAAAACCCAACTTGTTCAACTATATGTATGTTCCTGGTGGTCTCTGACTGCGGGGAGGTGAGATACATACATTAATATACATATTCATTCTCCCTCCCCTGCCTTCTCTCTTTCCAGTTCTTTGACCATAAGAGATTGGGGAGAAATCATCTGGCAAATTCTCATCACATGAATACTATCTACAAAGAGGGTTTTGCTTTCTATATAGAAAGAGGATGAATAGAAGTGTAAGGTGGTTATATAACTTAACTGTTATGTATCTGTCCAGATAATCTACGGATATCTCATGTGCTACTTGTCTAAAACTACTTTCCCTCTCCATCTTTGCCACCCTGACCTCAAACTCTCCTCTTCCTAATTGGACCAACTTACTGAATGAAATCACCACCTATACAGTCACCTAAGCAAAACCAATACTCCTGCTTCTCTGCCCCTTTTCCCCACGTTTGACAGAATTGGCAAAAAACTGTTGATTTGGGTCTAAACATCTCTGGAAACCAACTCCTTCTACTCTGCCTTCCCTCATTTCTCTGGGGATTAGAGCATTCAAACTCCCTGTATCTGGCCTTCACCCCCTCATCTTCCACATAGCTGTCACAGCAAGCTTTTTAAAATGTAGATTTGATATCTTTTGCCTCTTCACTGCCCTTAGAAATAAAAGCCAAACTCCTCACATATCACACTTCCAGCCTCATCTCCCACCACTTTCCCACAGGTTCCTAAATTAGTGTCCTATCAGTGCGTTTGCAATCTCCTTCCAAACTCATCATACCCGCTTATTCTCATTCCTTCTTATGTCTAAAATAACCTTCCTCCTCTTCCTCCTCCCCTGCCTCTTTTTCACTGACCCATCAAGATTAAGGGCCCTAGCAAGCAAGAGGAACTTTCATACACTGAAAGGATCTTAAATCAGTTCAGTCACTTAGGAAAAATAGGTTGGCATTACCTAGTAACTACGTTAACAGTATAGATAGGCCATGGCCCAGAAATCACTCCAGGAAAACTTGCTGGAAAAACTCATGCACACAGGCACTATATATATATTAATATATATACACACATATATGTTCATAGAAGTATTGCCCAATAACCAAAGATGAGAATCAATCCACATGTCCAACAGGAGGATGGATACATAGATTGTGGTATGGTCATATAACAAACCACTGTACAGAAATGAAAAAGAACGAGAGCTATGTGCAACAACTTGGATGAATTTTATAAATAATGGTGAGCAAAAGATGACAAAAGAACACACGCTTGTAGGCTTCCCTTTTTTTTTTTCCCTTCCCAAGACAGGGTCTTGCTCTATTGCCAAGGCTAGAGTGCAAACTCCTGGGCTCAAGTGATCCTCCTGCCTCAGCCT